CAATCAACAAAAATGTGTATGACTTGGCCATAGGTAGCAGCTTGCTATTTAGTTGTCAAACATCTTAAAACATAAGATTGTTTCAACACTCTGTTTCTTGAAGCATGGCAAACCCATGAGCATTGTTCTGAACATTGTGTACTACTGAGTTCCAAGGACTGTGTTGCCTCTGGTTCACATCAGAGCCCCCGAAACCTCACCATTTTTTTTCAAACTCTCCAGTGCAACATGCAAATGCCGTGGAACCTCTCCTAGCCCCCTCCACTTGTTTCTGTTTACTGGGCACATGGACCAGTGCCTCTCACTTGAAAACAGGAAAGGCACATGTCTCTGAGTGAGAAGTCAGTGGGGACTTTGGAAGGAAGCTAATGGTGTGCAGAGGCTGTGGCATGGGCCAGGCATAGGGCCAAGAACTGAGGCAAAGTGGCAAATTTCAGAAGGTCACTTGGGTTCAGGAAGTGAGGCTTTGTGGGAGGTGGTCAGGGTGAGGATCTGCGTAATAGGCGATGCCACCCCCATCCGCTTTCATGGTGGTGATCACTGAGTGATTCTGGATTAGCCTTTCACACTTGAGGGTTCACTGAACACTGGCCACTTCCTCCTCCTTCTCTTGTTTTCTTTGCTTTTTGAATCCTTCCCTTCACCTCCCCTCTCCCCCTTCCCTGACTCAGGAGCAGGTTTAAGTGAAGAGACTTTGAGGTTGGCAAAGCACAAATAGCTCCTCAGAAAGCACTGGGCATAGTAAGGTGAGGAGTTGCTGGACAGCCATCAAGGTCCCCAGTTACCCTGCCCTGAGCCCAGCTGGGCTCTAGAACAGATTCTGAGCAAGGCCAGAATGGAGGCATTTGCCCATCGTTTAAAAAGTGGGGGGAGGAGGGACAAAATCTTAGTAATTAAGACAGATTGTATTTTCAAGCCATGTTTAAAAAACTCAGATTGGGAAGGATGGACCAGCAGACGACAGTCTGTGCAGTTGGGATGAAGAGGCACACAGAGCTGCCAGGAAGGAACCACTCCCCGGAATCCTCGACCATGGAAGAGCCCTGGTGCCAGGGGCCACAGGGTAGCAGGGCCACGGCTGCTCCCAGCCCTCATGTCCCTCTAACCTCTCGGGACTGAGGAGTCACCCTCCTCCCCAGGGCACTTGGTGTGGGACATCTGAGGAGCTGGCTGTGTCCACTCATTACCACTGCCCTGTGCCCCCATGCTCTGAATGGCCATGCTTGCCACTTTGCCTCAGAGATCTGGTACAGAGCAGCCTAGGAGAGCAGCAGCAGTTCTGCAAGGACATCTGGGGCCTCCAAGCTTTCAATAAACTCCTCTAGTGCCTCACTCATCTTGCTGGACCATGGATGAGCAGATAGGTAGATGCAGGAGCACAGGAAGCAGCAACAGAAACTGCAGGCCCCCTACATCAGAGAGAGTGCCCCGGGCCCAGCCTTGAACTCAGCATGCCCACCATCCTTCCTCTGCCTTCCAGGTGCCCATGCAAGTCCTTACCATTTGAAGAAGAAAGCTCCCAGAGCGTGCCCTCTGAGTGCCTGTCTTAAGTCCTTCAGTTCAACCACCCAGGACTCCACTAGGGCAAGTCTAGTTGTGACTCCTACAACTCTTGCTTATCTGATGCTGTGGCCTGAATGTGTGTATCCCTCCAAAATTCCTGTCGAAATGTCAACCCCAGTGCAACAGTATTGAGACATGGAGCATCAAGAAGTAATTAGGCCATGAGACTCCAACCTCATGGATGGGATATGAGTCTTTAGGAAAGAATACTTGTCTTGTTTCTGTTTGATCCCTGGTTTGATCCCAGCACTAAACACACAAAAGTACATCTATTAACACAGGTGCAGTGGCCTACACTTGTAACCCTAACTACTTGGGACATTGAGATAGGAGGATCCCATACTTGAGCCCA